GTGTTTGCACACCTCAGCGGTGTATTGCACATTAATTCCAGTCGCTGTAGGAAATTCAGTGGCATAATGTGCCTTAAATGACTTGGGGCGCAGCAAACTAAAACTCCTTTGAGGAGTTTTAGTCTGCTGTCCCTACAGCTGTGGAGCGAAGCACCGGGCTCTGTGCAGCTCTGCAGAAAACCCTGCAGGCAGCCTGGCAGCAGCCTGGGAATGCGGGCTCCACCCAAGAGAAGTGGCGAGCCTGATGGTTTTTTTCCCCACCCCCCTAGAGCCTGCCTGCCTGAGCTGCACAGGGGCCTGGTGCTTCCCTCTGCGGCTGCGGGGCCCACTGGGACCACCTGAGCTGGGTGCCTGAGGGTGGGTGCTGCCTGTGGGGGGCTGCTGCTGCCGCGGAGGGAAGCCCCAGCCCCCCCCGCAGCCCAGGGACCGCTCCGCCAGTCAGCAGCTCGCCCTCCCCTCCCCTCCCCGCCACAGAGGCTGGCAAGTCTGCGGGGTGTGTGCACGACACGGGGATTTAATCAGCCCTAAATTGAAGCGATGTTTTTTAAAACCCACCACTTTAATTTAGGTCCCCCGCTTTGTCTACACACACCCTAAGACTGCACTTGACCTTTCCCAAGCAAACCACGCCAAGTTGTCCATACAGGTGATAGAAAGCATGTTTTAGAGCTACTGGCTCTCCTGAACTGGACCTACAGCACCTTGGATACTGAGAGTCTTCCACTGTTTGTTTTGGAAAAACCCCATCACTGTTGGGTTAAAACCAGTTTCCATTTCTATGGCTTGCCAAAACCCTTTGCTCAGGAAGGCTTTGCTATCAAGTCAAATTTCAAAGGGAAGTAGAGATTGCTCTCCTTGACATTCACAGGGAAATGCAGTACTCTGGAAACTTGGTAGAGACAAGCCAAAATATGACATCACCCTTAAAACAAAGCAACACCAGTGAAAAACGTTAAACGCTGTTAGGGTGGAAAAAAATTGCGCAACGTGTATCACTATGAACTGTACAAAAAGAAAATCCCAGGAACTTTTCACTGTAAAACGAGCAAAATAAAAATCTACCCTTAACTCCATCAGATGGAAGAGTTGCCCTTCTTCTTACTGCACATGCAACGTGCTGCAACGTCAAGGGCAGCAACGGAGTCAAAAGTCTACCCGAGCTTTTCCAACCAACTTTAATTGAATGCCACACTCGTATTACAGACAGAACCAAGTCTGCAGGGCCAGTAACAACACAGCTGTCCCCTGGTAAGTTGTAATTTGTATCAGACAGGACTTTCATGTGACCTAGAGCAGGCTAAAGGTTTGGACCCACACCCTGGCTAAGGGGATCCTGTCTCGTTTCTGTCCAACCTTCTGACTAGAACAAACCAGGTCTATTTTAAGCTTATTTAAGACAGCGTATTTAGAAGTGAAAACATTTTGAGGGGCATCTCAGGATAACACAAGAATCCACGTGTTAAATGACTATTTGGGGAAATGTGAAATACAAAGAACCTCTCTTACTTTTCTGCCATTTTCATTTTGATGGGTTTCTTTTTCCTGCCACCTTCTTCCTCATTCTGGCTTTGCTTCCCTTTAATGCCTTCTTCTGCCCGCTCCAAAGTCTCTTCTAAGTCACCTTCAACTTCCGACTCAAACCCAGAGGTTAAAAATTCGTCTACGCTCAGATCCACGAGTTTCCTAGTTCCAGAAGGAGGAGAGAAAAGAGAGAGGGTAAAAGCGCATGCAGGATTTGAAATGCACCCGAATTTAGTTTCATGTCATATCACATCCCACCCATCCCAACTAGACCATAACGTTCAACACGATCAGTTTTTACCAAAGAAAAGCATCAAGTTTAATCTGGATGTCAACAACCACTCGAACAGATAACTTTAGGGCTTGATAAAATCCTGCTCCTGCCAGGTTTCACCAGGGGTCTTCACACCAGATAAAGAAATAAGTACTTAACCTGTAAAAGTACTGCCCCTTGGGTCGGGGAGATACTGGGGTTTGATTGTAACACAGCAGACACTCCCAAAAAGCCAGCTTTGGATGAAACTGTGGCAGGGTAATAACATGTGACCTTCCCTGACCCTGTGCCGATGGGGTTACACACAAAGCATAGTGCTTGGCAGGCTGCAGTGCTATCAGAGGGCAGGACGGTCTTATACCACCATAGGCCAGCCCGGGCGGCTTGCTTACAACCTCTCACGCACTTTCTTCCAGGCAGAAAGGAGGACTGCAAGCCCACAGGCCTCCTGTTTCAATACGTGCCTGCAATCCAAACACTAAAACCAACCCCTAAAAAAAAATAACCAGGTTAGTTGCCCATGAGATTTTCCCTTGTAATTGCCAGCCACGTGGGGTGGGAAGTCCCACTGGAAGATGCTGGCTGGAGTCGACAGCTTGGTCCCCGTGCCCGTGGTGGCATGGCAGGGGGCTCTGATATTGTACCCACGCCGGGTGCTCTCAGCAAGCAACCCCAGCACCCAGTGGCTTTGCCCCCACTGCTGCCCCAGCCCAGGAGGGAGGGATCAGGGGCTCTGCACCCGCCAGCCCAGTTGGCTCCACGCTTCGCCTGCGGCCCCTTATCCCCTGCCAGGGGCCCATGCATGTGGGCACTCCAGGGCTTCTCCACACATGGGGGAGAGCTGGTGCACAAGGACTGTGCCCGTGCCCGTGCCCCTCGCACTGGATGGGGTGCTCAGCCCAAAACAGCCCCCAAAGGAGCTCACTGCACCCCTGCCCTGCAGCACGCTGCACCCCTGCCCCTGCCCCTGCCCTGCAGGCTGGGCTGGACCCAGCTGGAGGCCCCCGCAGCGCTGCAAGCTGCCGGGCAGCCCCCCTCTCCCCGCGGGCCGCACGGGCGGGCCCCGCTCACCGCGCGCCGCGCGCCGCCATGCTCCTTGCGCCGCACGCCGCTGCCGCAATGTGCTCCGTGCTTCCGCTCCCCCCCGCGCCGCGCCTGCGCACACGCGCCGCAGGGTTGACTCTGGGGTTGACGCGCGTCCCAGAGGCCGAAGCGCCGTGCGGGCGGGCGCGAGGGTTGGGAAAGGGACTGGGGGAGCCGGGCCTGGCTGCAGCTCCGTGCGTGTGTATGTACACGCACGCACACACATATATGTGTATATAGGGGTGTCTGTGCGTGCATTTTTGAACCCGAAAGCTTGCTTAATAACTATTCTCCAACCATTTGGGTTGGTCTAATAAAAGAGATCAAATTCACCCAAGGAACCTTGTCTGCCTATATGTACATATGTGTGTTTATATGTATGTGTGCGCATATATGTACACGTATGTGCATGTGTGCACATATGTACACATGGGTGTATATCTGTGTGCATATATACGGATATACATGTGTTTGTGTGTCTTAGGGGTGTAGGCTGAGTTGGTCTAATAAAAGATATTGGATTTACCCAAAGAACCTTGTCTGTTTATGTGTATTCTGTATGTGTGCACGTATACATATATGCACACATGTATGTAGATATGTATGTGTGCATATATATGTATACACAGATGTGTGCAGATGTGTATGTATATATACACGTGTGCATGTGTATTTGAGCAGATGTGCATATATTTGGTATAAATCAATACATGTATGTACAGATACACACATCCCTGCACAGGCCTGAGGACCGAGGGCCCCGCTCTGCCCCTCAGTGGTTCCTGTGCTGCCGCCCTAGGAGCAGCGGGTCGTGCCCCTGTGCTGAGAGCCAGGTTGGGTGTCCCCTGAGCTCTCCCAGCCCTCTGTGCCCGACCTCAGCAGCCGAGCCCTGAGGAGAAAGGTCCCGTGTGCCCGGCTGTGCAGCGTTGGGCCTTTCCCACTCACGCGGCCTTCTGCTCATCTCGTGTCCCCCAGCGGGCTTTTGTGGGCCTGCCGGGACCTCCACAGGGCTGCCATCTCCCTTTCTGTCCATGCATACACAGGAGGCACGCACCGCCCTTTCCCCCTGGGCATCGGTGGCGGGGTCTCGCCCACCTGCCACGCTTTGGGGGCAGATCCCCTCCTTCTCCACCTGGCTGCAGGAAGTCTGCAGCCCACCTGTGCACGAGCCTGGTATCCAGGTTGTACCCGTATTGGTCCAGAGCAGCCATTCTCAAACTTTTCCCCCTCCCCGGCAACCACTTGAACATTGCTGAGGGTCTCAGCAGACCACTTAAAAAAAACCCTTTTTGTTGCTGTTGTACAAATCAAAGCAGCTCTTTTTTTTTTAATAGCGGTCATCTTACCTTTCTAATGCGCTGGATGCACCTGGTTGGTTTTTTGGGGGAGCCAAGTTCTGGGAAGCCGGGCGTAACGTGTCGGCGTTAGCCTGAGGTCGCCTTTCTGCCGACCAGCGGTGGTCTGCGGCCCACAGTTTTGAGAACCCGTGGTCTAGAGGAAAAAAGCAATGAGGGCTCCTAGTAGAGGCGATCCCTTTGATAGAAAGACTTTTTTTTTTTTTGGGGGGGGGGGGTGGTGTTGCAAACATCTAATAAAAAAGATCACCTTTACTCTCTAGGCTCATCCAGCAGGAGGGTTGCAAGGGACCATCCCCAACTATCTCAGCCCAGCCAAGGCTTGGTGCCCCTCCAAGGAGGCCGGGTGCAAGGAGGATGCTGGAGGCAGGACCCGAGGGGTGCGCGGGGCAGCAGCCGCGCCGGGTTTCCCACGGCTCGGGCGGC